GCAATAGTTTTAAGTACATGAGTAATTTCTGCATTATTATGCTTCACTTCAACTCATATTTGTTCTCCTGTCTGTGCAATATACTGTAAATGTGAATGTAACATAGGATGGATTAACAGTTTTCTTATCATGGTCATATTATTCATACCTAAGGTTACACATGTTACATTGTGATACAGTTGTGGTTTAAACTTCAAGTAATTTACAGTCCATACAGGTACATCATATTCAAAATCACAACTCTTAATCTTTGTAATGTTACAAAAACATCTGTTAACTAAATAAGTCATAAATACAATTCCTTATCATCTATTACTACAATTGGACAATGACTTCTCTCACATACAAATCCCTTTCCTGCATATACAACAGCTGATTTTTGTTCAGTGAATATATTAAACATACATCTTGGGGTTCCTTTGTCTTTTTCATAGAAACATTCATGCCTTTTTTGTAAATTTTGATCCTCACACACATATCCCAAATTGCCATGGGGTACACATTGAAACATGTCAATGGTCTTCCATTGTTGGTTTTCTTTATATACCCAAGAATGATGATTAGTGGAATACAGAATCAATTTTTTTGTGAGCTGAATTCCCAAAGGCACTATTGGATAGATATCAATAGTTAGACTACAGTGTACAGTTACTACAAATGCTTTTAAAACCATTTGATCTTTGTTTAGGGTAAAATTTACCAGCTTCCACCAGGCCATTAATTGTCTTTCCCCTTCTGTAACATTTTCCCACAACAGTTTTCTTATTTCCAAAGGCAAATTTCCTTGCATACCTTCCCGGATTATTTGAATGACCAATTGCTGAGTTATTTCCTGAGCCTGTGTACAGGCTAATGCTAGGGACCTAGCATAGGTCTTCCAACATGGCTACAGAAAAGCCATATTGTTACAGTACTGGTTTTGATAGTTTTGGTGTTATGAGACAGACAATCAGTTAATCTAGCTTTGAATCTTACTCATTTAAATGTACTTTTAACCTCTAAACTATAACCAGCAATATTCATGAAAAACAAATTAGTATATAGCAAGGCAGGATGGCACATTGAATCATAAAGCTAGCTTCCCACTCTTAAAATATTGTGAATATCTCCCAAGCAAAAATGTCTTATTCCTTCTTACATGTTTTTTTCTGGGGGGTGGGAGGGTGGAGGGATAGAAAAAGCCTTTTTTCAGCTACAGGAATCTATGTACTGATGAATAAAGCATGGCCAGAAAAAAAAGCATAAACACATTGTATTCACATATCATCAGTTTTGTTATTTGTGAACAATACCCAAATGTGGACACTTCACTTTCTGCATTCTAGTATTAATAAAGGAAAATAGTTGCTAGAGCTAACATGAATGCAGTCCTTTGTTATCTTTAAAGACTTTTTATGTGGCACAGCTAGCTTTTCCAATAAGAGCTTAAAAGTGGTTATATACATGACATGCTAAGGCCATGTCTACACTATGAAATTAGGTCAAATTGATTAAGGTCACTTGTTAGCACCCAATTTTGTAAAGTCAAAGATGGATGTCCTCACTGTGCACAAGATTTCAATGTACTGCCTCCCCAGTGGGGTGGCTATTGTCACCTTTGACAGCGATGCACTGTGGCTAGTTAGCCCACAGTTCCTGCCATCCCTTTGTATTCTGAATTAGGATTGATGGGACAAAGACAGTGCAGTGGGTGGTTCTAGATACATGTTGCCATTGTCCCATAATACACTCATCTGCTTTTTCTCTCTACACCCCCTATTTGAAAGTGATGGCAAACAGTCTTTTCACATCCTTTTTCCCTTGGTTATCCATGCAGATACTATAGCAGGGCAAGCATGGACCCAGTTCAACTGCAAAGTACTATGGTAATCATTACTAACACCTCGTGCCTTATGCTGCGATATGTTCAGAGCCTAGTCAGGAGCTGCCGAAGTGAGGAAGAATGTAAAGAGGCCACGAACACAGACGTGAATAAAATACTAAAGTGGAGCAATGGGCAGATGCTGGTGACAGTCAATCCTTTTCACACAGTGGAATGCCAGTTCTGGTGCTGTGAGACAAGCATAGACTGGTGGGACTGCATAGTAATGCAGCTGTGGGATGATAGCTGAAAAACTTTTGCAGGCATAAGGTCACTTTCATGGAACTTTGCAAGTTGCATTCCCTCGCCCTAAGTGCAGCAATACCAGAATGAAAACCACTCTGACAGTTGAAAAGCACATGGCAATAGCCCTGTGAAAGCTTGCAACACCAGACAGCTACTGGTCAGCTGGGAATCAATTCAGAGTAGGAAAATTTACAGTGGGGGCTGCTGTGATCCAAATAGCCAAGACAAACGATACCCTTCTGCTACAAAGGATAGTGTCTCTGGGAAACATGCAGGACATAGTGGAGGGCTTTGCTGCAATAGGATTCCCTAACTATGGTTGGGTGATAGATGGGATGCACATTCCTATCTTGGCACCTGACTGCCTCGCCAGAAAGTTCATAAACTTCAAGGGATACTTCTCAATGGTATTGTGGGCACTGGTGGATCACAAGGGCTATTTCACCGACATCAGTCTGGAATGGTTGGGAAAGATGCATGACACATGCGTCTTTTGGAATTCAGCTTTTTGAAGAGGCAGCCAAGATGGAACCCTCTTTCCAGACTTGAAAGTTACAAGAGCTTCAGAGGGGTAGCTGAGTTAGTCTGTAACAGGAAAAACCTGAAAAACAACAAATAGTCTGGTAGCACTTTAAAGACTAACAAACCATGTAGATGGTATCATGAGCTTTTGTGGGCACAGCCCACTTCTTCAGATGACCGGAGTGTTGGATGGCCAGAACCAAGTGCAACGTTCCTTTCCCACGGGAGCCTGTAGGGGAAAGGGGGGCCAGGTGTGGTGGCAGGCCAGGGAATGATGCAATCACTGAGGAAGGGGAAGCCAGGCATAGTGGCAGGACAGTGGCTTGCATGGTCACCGAGGAACCTGTGCAGGGGAGAAGGGCTGGGCATGACAGCAGGGCAGGGACTCAAACCATGCTTTGTTGGGGATGAGCAAATGTTGGTATACTGCCTTAACAGCATCAGTTACATAGCTTCCCCTGCTTCATCCAGGTTTCCATGTGTGATATCAGACTTCTCAGATCACACAGAATGATAAGGAGCTGACTGACTGTGGCCAGAACCCTGGATCTTATGCTGCAATACTTTTTTTGCTGCAATGATGCCAGAACACTTACTGCTGGCTAGGTGTGAAAGGTGTTCAATTGTGCAAGGCGGAATAAGGCAGCCCTCTAGAAAAATCTTGTGAGAAGTATGAAGGAATACCTCTATGAGAGCTTTATGGAGATGTAAAGGGACGATTCCCACTCCAGCTCCAGACATGTTAAGAAGATGTTCCATGGAACCCCTGCAGTCTGGGTTGCCTTAAGCCATTTGTAGCATGACTGAAAATGTGAACTCATCAGAAGTGCTCTCCCCTCCATCATGGCCCGGCAGCAATATGTTCTGGAAGGAGGAGGGGATTATCTCCAAAGTTATAAAAAGTTCCTGTCTGTCAGTGAGATTGGATGCTCCACTTGCCTGCTGACCATTCTCCTACTCCTCCTCTTCCTCATCTAGAAAGTTCTCCATGCTGTTGCCCAAGGCTGCCTGAAGAATCTCTTGGGAGAAATCCACAGACAGTTTTGTGACACTGTTTCGGCCCCCACCTAGAATCCTATGCAGCTGCTTATAGAATCCGCATGTTTGCAGTACTGACCCCTTTGCCTCCTTTGTCTTCTGGTATGCCTGCCTGTTCTCCTTTATTTTCATGTGGCACTGGTGGACATTACTGGCATATCCTTTCTCCACCATGCCCTGTGCAATCCTGGTATAGAGATTGTTTGTTTTGCTGCTTCATAGTTCTGCCTGCACAGATTCCTCTCCCCACACAGTAATCAGGTCCAGTATCTACTGCACACTCCATGCTAGCGCTTGTTTATGACCCTGCAAAAGTGACAAGGAGTCCTGTCATTCGAACTTGCAAATGAAGCCAGGTGCAGGTAGTTTGAACTACGGGGCATTTAAAAATGGCAGCGCCCGGGAACATGCAAATGAAGCCCGGGATATTTAAATCCCGGGCTTCATTTGCAAGTTCGAATGCCTACATTAGCCACCCTAGTTCGAACTAGGGTGGCAGTGTAGACATACCCTATGGGCTCGTCTACACTGGCCCCTTTTCCGTAAGGGGCATGTTAATTTCACCTATCGTAGTAGGGAAATCCGCGGGGGATTTAAATATCCCCCGCGGCATTTAAATAAAAATGTCCGCCGCTTTTTTCCGGCTTTTAAAAAAGCCGGAAAAGAGCGTCTACACTGGCCCCGATCCTCCGGAAAAAGCGCCCTTTTCCGGAGGCTCTTATTCCTACTTCAAAGGAATACTTTGAAAGTAGGAATACTTTGAAGTAGGAATAAGAGCCTCCGGAAAAGGGCGCTTTTTCCGGAGGATCGGGGCCAGTGTAGACGCTCTTTTCCGGCTTTTTTAAAAGCCGGAAAAAAGCGGCGGGCATTTTTATTTAAATGCCGCGGGGGATATTTAAATCCCCCGCGGATTTCCCTACTACGATAGGTGAAATTAACATGCCCCTTCCGGAAAAGGGGCCAGTGTAGACGTAGCCTTTGTGTGCAGAACACAGTTGTCAATATTGCATGTGTTTGTGATTATAACATTGAATATCTGCTTAGTGAAGTATATAATATGGACAAAATTCCTCACTTGTGACTATGTTTGTGTTCACTGAATTCATTCTTCATGTGTTTCTAGAGAGTCTCCAGACCTAAAAATAAAATAAAATAAAATAAAAAATCCTCAGGGGTCCCTAAAATAATCCCTCAGAAAATGCCTCTCTCCCTGCTGATTTTGAAACTGTGGCAAAAGATACATCTTAATTGTCATGCATCTTAGTCTATATCAGCATCATTGCTTAATTTTTTTCTATACTCATTTGCAGCCAAACTAAACTGTTTTCTGCAGGATTTGACCGCCTTGAGAATCTTGAAGAATATACAGGATTAAAGTGTCTATGGCTTGAATGCAATGGTTTAACAAAAATTGAAAACCTGGAGGCTCAGACAGACTTGCGCTGCCTATATTTGCAACTCAATTTAATTAATAAAATTGAAAACTTGGAACCCCTGGAAAAGTTGGATTCTCTCAACCTCAGTAACAATTATATTAGGACCATTGAAAATCTCTGTAAGTATTGATTGTATAGTATGTTTCATTTATGTATTATTCATTTTCCATGCAACTAATTAAGAGTGATCATATTTTTCAGGCTCTTTTTTAATCAAGTTAAAATATTGCAAAAAGTGCAGAATCAATTTAAGCAAGTCTTTTAGATGGAAAGTAAAACTTGTGTCATTAAAAATTTATATTTTGGGGAGGAGGGCTAATTGATCAAAAGAACAAAAGTTCACAGTTACTTACAGTGATGACTTAAACACTTTATGTTAAGTTATTCCTTATACGGGATGGGAATACCCACTGAATCCTTTATTTTCATTCCTCTTCATAACTTTTTCATTTGTTGTACTTTTATGTAGTACTTTTCATTTTTTTAAGTCAAATGTGCTGTACTAGCCACATCTTTTCTGACTACAGAGGGATTTATACCATGTTGAGATACTTGACATGATAAAAAGAGATTCCTCTGCACTACCACTTGTCTGTTGTAGGTGTAACTTGACTCATACGTTTGTGTAATTGACAGTTTAAAAGATAAATATGCATTTAAAATAAACTTAGGCATTCTAAAATAAACTAAGGCATCTTTGTGATAAAGAAACAGAAATGGGGGGGGGAGGAGCTTTGAAAAATACATTTATTGTGCACAGTGTATATAAAAAATGAAAAATAGTCATGATATTTAAAGCTGCAGTATTCTACTCTGTTGAGAAAATTCTACTTGCACAGAAGTCTGTGAATTAATTTTCTTTTCATTCTATTGTTATTGTCCAACAGCTTGTCTAAGAGTTCTGCACACTCTGCAGATTGCTCACAATAAATTACAAACTGACCCAACCATCTGTATCCCTGACCTTTCCCACAACAAGTTAGATGATCCAAGTATTCTAAATGTCCTGGAGACCATGCCTGATCTGGTGAGCAAAATATAAGCAAGCATTTTGTATATGTTCACCTCCATAAGTTTGAAACAACAGCCTCATTAATTTGTCTTATATGGGAGAGCCCACTGCACAATAATAATATAAACTTCATCTGCATTAGAAGAAGGTGTTTTATTTCTAATGCATATGATTAGGAATGCTGGGCAAATAATGGAATTTTTGGTTCACTGAAAAAGTAAAATATTGTTTTGGGTTGAACAAAATGTTTTTCCCCAACATACCATTTAGACATCAGGTTTAATTTGGTTTTATTTTTAAAGTTAAACCTAGAAAAAATTCAAAACTTTTTTGCAAATATTTTTCCCCTCTGATACTGTACACTGGATTCATCCTGAATTTGTAAACAGCATTGTCTACACTGCAGGGTGTTTGCACAAGAAACCTTTTGCAGAAGAGTTCTTGTGCAAAAACTTCTTGTGCAAAAGTGCGTCCACACCTCAAAAGCGCATCCCTTTTGCGATGTGCTTTTGTACAAGAAAGCATCCACACTGTTGGACACTCTCCTGCATATGAAGTCCCTCAGAACCAGTTCTAGCTGGGATCAAGGTCATCAGTTGCTCTCGAGTGCTGTTGCCAGAGCCCTCCAGAGACGCACGTTTAAAGGGATCCCCCTGGACAGCTGCTTCTCTGTTTCTGCTGCCCGCTTGCTAGCCTCTTTGGCAAAGCAAAGCTTCAGCAGTGCCTGCTGTGTGTGCCCTTTGCCTTTTTGGGAACAGCACAGCTTTTTCCTCCTCTGCCCGGCGTGCTATGGAGCCAGAGCTGCCCCTGGGTATGCAACGGACCCCACAGGGCCATGCTGCACTCCCTGCAGCACCTGCTTCAAGCAACATTCCTGTAATCAGCCTCTGTCTGTCTGCGGGTGCTCCACTCTGGCTGCCAAAGCCCACCATTCCCTAAAGATTTTGGAGACTGGAGACCAGCTCGGACTGGTGGAACCGGCTGGTCCTGGAGTGGTGGGATGACCAGCAATGGATCCAGAACTTCTGGATGCGGAAGGCTCCTTCCAGGAGCTCTGTGCCTGGCTCTCTCCTGCCCTCCAATGATGTGACATCCACCTGTGGCCTGCCATCCCACTCCAGAAGTGGGTTGCCATCGCACTATGGAAGCTGGCCACCCCAGACAGCTACTGCTCGGTGGCTAACCAGTTTGGCGTGGGGAAGTCGACCATCGGGGCCATCCTGATGCAGGTAAGGAGATCATGGGCTGCAGCATCTAAATGGGGCGGGTGGGGGAGAGTGTTGCATAATGGGGACCCTCAGAATAGGGGGGCTGGTGACTGTACAGGGTGGACTGGG